ACATAAAAACGAAAAGTAGCTTTCCTATTTAAGGTTAATTTTCTCTCTAACAATAAGATCGTCAGACATGGGCGCAATAGATTGAAAGAGCAAAGTCAAACTTTAATTAAGCGCCACTTGATACGCCATGTAATTTGAAAACTCTCGACCGTAGTTGTAATTCCGCGGATTGCTCTTATCGTTTTGTCAACAATGCCGATTATCTTAATACCCTTGCAATTTCGGATATTGTTACAACAAGCGTTGATAGTTTAATGCATGTCACTATTTATTTGGCAAGCGCCGCTGCACGTGCTTTGTCAGGAATAGCTTTGTAGTATTGTTATTTATACCTTATACAGGTACATATCGCGTTATTAGATATCTATTTGATAAGAGGATATCTATTTGACAGCCGTGTGGTATACGTGTAACATTGTGGGTCTCGCATTATATATCGCATAGCAAAACTATTATTGTTAATGGGTCGAAGGAGCATTATATCGGTCACGTAGTGCGCTTCCTTTATGATTGTTCTCAGTCACCACTATCCTTCCGACATATTACACAATTATCGACGTTATCAACCTGGAACATGCCGGACGAGAGACTATGACATAAGGATTGTGCCATTAATATCGCAAAGGAGCCTCCCCCCCATCGTTGTATACGACCTTTCTAACATAAGCGCGAGAATTATATAAAACGACCAGACAGCAGTAATTATATCTTTAACCCGTTAGCTTTCTTCCGGATATATAATGATTACATCCGTATATTTTCTCTCCACGCTGCTACACTTGATGTAATGAAATGGTATGCTTTTAAGAGTCTCTAGGTATAAAAGACACTTTTAAGATAAATTTTTTCGGATAAATTTTCGGATTTAAGTTGAATATTTAATGTAAGTAAATCAGAGACACCAGAAGAATATTCTGAGTCAAATTTGTTTTCTTTTGAAATATTTGAACCGATAATTTTATGACTGTTTTGCACAATCAAGAAAGTTTGTTTCAACACACACTTATTATTTTCAATGATAACATTGATAACACTTTATCGACATGTTGAAAACTACAGCGATATCTTATCAAGGCATTCTATGTTTGCAAGTCGCGCGAGTTACCGTGAAGTCAATAAAGTCAAACGGCCATATGTCGGCATTTTTCGCGTGTAGCTCTTCGTGACATCGGTTAAGTGAGATGTGTTTCCACCGGTGACATGTAGCATGAGATTTCTCGTCACGTCTATATCGGAGTTCTGTCATAGGAAAGTTTGTCAAGTGACATCGCCGTCGGCCCGGCGAACTTTTTCGTAACTTATCGCCAGACGGCAGCGAGACGTCGACGAATTTTCTCGTCGCTGCTCGAAATTCCGTCCTGCGACGGAAAATTTCGTACGTGAAAATAAAAGAGGGGATGGGTCTCGTTAACCAACAAGTATCGTATATCGCAGTTACGGGATTTCAATCGCGACGGATTTCGTTTGTCAATCAGTTCCCGAGGGATTTTTTTTGTGTGCGATTTTAATCATCACGTGTATCTTCGTGAATTGACAACAGTTAGTTCGACGTTATATTTTTTTCATTTATTTATAATTGAAAATGCAAGAACAACGGGAAATTCTATAGAAAGGAGGCTCGCAGATAATTTCTTTCTTCCTACAAGTTGAAAGTTCATTGTTTCTGGCCTTGCATCAAGATCCTCGCGAGATCGAAATTGCCCAACGTCTCGAAACTTTTGCGTATATACGGAGTGCAATTCGCAGTTTTCGTGTAGCGACAAATTATGTCGGCGCAACGAGGTATGATACTTGACACTTGTTTAGCGATCTTATGGATACCTCAGGCGGGAGTTAAGCCTGGCCGTGTAATCTCGACTCCTAGACACCGGCACCAATTATCCGACGCGCCAGCGTCTTGCGGAGCCTGGAAGCTGTTATTAAGCGTTGTATAGTAGCGCACCGTTATACGGAGCCACGTGTACTTTACGCTGATTCGTTCCCTTTAATGGCCTCCTGCTCGCGGCGGATCGGATGGAGATAGGCAGGGATGAAACTGCGCGAATTGAAGTGCTTCAATCCGGTTGATTAAATCGCCTTTGGTTTACGGAGGCAGTGCCGAGTTACGTTGGTAACCTCCCGCCGTACCCTTACCTATGTATGCTAAAGACGTGCCTTCCGTAAATTTCCTCGAGGGTGCTACGTGGGAATGCTCAAATATCCTTCAAAAGAGCTGACGTCGTTTCACAGCGACATTACAGCGCTGTTGCGGTACATCAGCTGCTGCGAGATACATAAAAAATATACGTGTCTCCCATTTTTAAAGCCGCGCGCGACTTAACTAGATATTCCAGTTACGCGTTTCTATATATGGCTCGCATAAAGCAGCCATCTGCACTCGCTCATGATTCTCTCGCGTTTTTTCCTCGTCGAAAGCATTTAAATCTTTATTATCAGTTATTCCTTTTCCTTAAATTTCACGGAAATGTCGCGCTTTCGCGACATCTCGATAAAATTTGCTTATGTATATCTTTACGATCTGAAAATAATTTTTGTTCAATAATCAAAATAATTTTGTGTAAAAGTCAAAGTGATTGCTAGAATATCAAAACGTTTTATAGCAATGCTTATCAGTTTTAACATTCCAACTAGTTATTTTGATGATTCAACGAAAAATTATTTTCAGATCTGCACTGAAAAAAGAATCTGGCATTAAGAGGAAATCTGTTAGAGTCAACTAGCTGTCTCTTATACACATCTCTG